CATTTTAGTATCTCAACAATTTTTTAATATTCCTGTTTATATTGACTATATTTTTTTTTGGATCACTTTTAGTATTTTTTTTACTAAAAGGCTTTTCGTTTTCCACTCGATATTAGGGTTTGGCAAAAACCGGAAAATTTTAAAAAACTAGTTTTTGGATTTTTTAAATTGTAAACCGGATAAAGGGTTTTACACTATATTATAAAAAATATAAGCAAATACTACTTTCGAAATAAAAACTTTATCCATCAACCCTTTTTGCATATATGTTATAGTAGATCTTCTATCTCTTATTGAGGACCATTTTTATGGAATAAAATAGTTTTGAAATATTTTGATTTCACTCAAGAGTGGAATTACAACACATTCAAAAGAAAACTTAAGCAGATAATTTTATTTATCGATAACATACTCTTATATTTTATAATTCTTAGTGTTTACACATATGAATGTTATTTATCTTTTACGTTTAATTATTTTCACTTTCGACGAGAATATACATGTTTAACACAATAAATGTAACATTGTTGAAAAACAAAGTGGTTCTTGACGACAAGACCTCTAGGTCTTCTACGAGATTCCACATTCTTCCTCTTACAAACTTTATTAATCTTGTAATCATTCTATTATATTATTAAAATTTTTATAATCGTAAAACGAATAATATTGTAAAACATTTAAAGAAAAAACAAAATATTTGATAGAAAAAAAAAAAAAAAAGAATTTTTATTATTGCCGTATAAATCAAATGTAACGTACAGGATATACTGGAATTAGGTCTGTAAACTAAGAAAATGTTTTTTACACTTATAATTTCATACTTACTAATTTAGTTCAAACCTTGTGAACTCGGATCATTTTTACTTTTAAACCTTTTTTTCCTTTTCTAATCTTTTTTTTTTTTTGTGGCAACTTTACAACGTTTTTTTTTTAAATACAAATCATAATATGCTTTTAACTTAAACTTATGCATGTGATCAATATACAGAAGTTTAAAGTAAAAAAGCATACTACGATTCATAATATTTAAAGTAATACGAAAGTCAAAATTAAAGAAATAAATTTGTTGACAAAAATTGTTTTGTTGTTTAATAATTTTTTTTTTCAGCTTACAATGACAGTCGTGATACTTGTTTTTTTTTCAGCTTGACAGTCTTACAATGGCAGTCGTGACTAATGACAATGACAGTCGTGATACTTATTAAGACAAAAGTCTTGAAAAATAAACAGTTCAGTGTTACTAACAATCTAAAGTAAAATAAACAATTCAGTGTACTAACAATCTAAAGCAGTAAGATTTTGTATAGAAGATCATTAGGAACTTATCATCAAAACCTTAAAAGTTAAACATATTTTTTTGTAATATTTAGATATATTGAAGATTTAACATGAAGCAAAGGTATAACATACAAACATTTTACTATATAATATGCTGAAGATTTAACAAATACATTTTACATACGTTTTTAGTAAAGTTTTAGAATGCTGTCTATAGAGAAAATATTTTTAAATTTAGTTTTAAAAACAGGAAGATAAAAGAAGGATCAAAATTTGGTAAAACTATTTTATTTCACAGATGGGGTGCAAGATTTTAAAGTTTAACTCAAATTAAAATAATTAAACTAAAATAACAAAAAATTAAAAACAAACAAAATGAAACAATAAACGAAAATAATAATAAATTTACAAAATACTTTAAGTTAGTGCTACTTGAATTTCCTAGATTATTTTGGTTATCTTATCATTTTAAAAAATAAATGTAGTTGAAAGATTCTGTCAATATGTAATCTATTAATAATTGGTAAAAGAAATGTTTAAAAAAATAAAACTTAAGGCAATACTAAAGTGCATTTATTAAACTATATATATTTTCAAAATATTTGTGTTTCCACGCTACTTGTTAGCTTGTTTCCACGCTAGTTATTAGCTTTTCAAAACAAGACATCTTTAAACTATTTATCTATTTAGTAGTGTATAATAACGTCCGGATTTTTTTTAGAAGAAAAAACCGGTCGTTATTATGCGGTTTTCACCGGTTGCTAAGCGCTATTCAACATCTATCCTTTTGTATTTTTATCTCACTCTGCTAAACTCTTTTTAACTTATTATGTATCTCTAAGGCGTTTACTGCTCGGTGCAGCTTCACTAAAAGATGTTGCACTTACAAAAGGTTACTTTTCATATAATGGCACCCTTGAAATAACCCACCAAATCAAAAATTAAAAACTTTGAAAGTATGGTGTACCATAATATTCGTGGTGCTGTATTTATGTATTTAGGTATTTCTAATTTTAATTTTGATTTTTGATTAAACTCTTAGTACTATGGAAATACGTAAATGTGACAATAAATGCGTAACAATTGTTATCATCGTTAAAAAATATTTTTAGTATTAACTATGTGTATTTCCTTTAATAATAGAATATGTTTAGTTCACCTTAAAAAAAAAAAATTTTATAAGAAATTTACTAATCTTTTGTGTTAATTGCGTGCCTATTAAAATCAAAATATTATTTCAAATAAACCCAATGGGCACAGGACGTCCTTAGATGTCCATAGGACGTTCCGTTTAGGGCTATTCGTCCAAGTCGAAAATGGTTCGTTTTGGGGCGTCCATTGGACGTCCGAAAACGCTTAAATCTAATATAGCACATTTTGGGATGTTCATTGGACGTCCGCATCCGATGGAGGTATATTCTCTTCTCTGGGTGCTATTTTTACGCATGCGTGACCGTGTTGTTTTTTTTAAAATGGTTATAAAATATAGTTTAAAAGATGTTAATTTTTATGCTAAAAACTCGAATATTTAGTTATAGCTATCAAGTATAACCATATAGTTTAAATATATAGCTGTATAATATAATGCTCATGACCACAAGTTACCTTTATCTAACTTAAATTGAACTACTTTTTTTATTAAACAAAAAAAATTCAATGTGTAATATGAATATATATATATATATATATATGTATATATATATATATATATATATATATATATATATATATATATACATATATATATATATATATATATATATATATATATATATATATATATATATATATATATATATATATATATATATTAATTTATAAAAATAAAGAAAACAACTTTTTTTTGGTACTAATAGTTTCATGCCTAAAGGCAATCATCAGCCATGTAATACAAAACAAGAAACAAAAAAAACCGTTAAAATATAAAGTTACAGTGGAATGTGCTCCGTCGTCAAAACAAAACAAAAACAAAAACCTAAAAACGGCTGCCTAATCACCCGTATCGAAATTCGAAAGGAGGAACTTGCTTTTATGTCTACATTTAGATACTAATTCATTCCTCTTATTTAATAAGTTATCATAGGTGTACGATATTATGAAATACTTTTCGTATAGACATAAGTTGCATCGTTTTATTGTGGGATTGTAAGATCTACAACGTTTTAAAATTTTCCATTTAATTGTCGGGTTTACTCCATTTTCTTTTAACTTCCATACTTCCTTAGACAACTCAGTATCGTTTTTATATTTTTCGATCTTAAAAGATTTTGTATGATTAGCGTATCTAAGTTTAAAAGCAGTTTCACTTACTCCAAAATACACTTTTTCAATCCCGTCTGGAGTGCCTGGATATAGAGTGGCTTGATACACTATGTTATTAACGAGACACTGTTGATTTAAAGGGCACTTGCTTTTAGTAATACAATTGCAACTTTTATCTGATTCTGGGGGGATGCTTTTCATAATATGACTGTTATGAAAGTTAACGATTGATTTGATGTTTGGCATACAACTGTAACTCACCTTTAGAGTATTTCTATTAAAAATCTTGTGGTATTTATGTCCAACTGGAAAGTGCTTGTCAATTAAATCCAAAAAGATTTTACCAATTTTAGTAGAAACATTTTTACTATATGGGGGGTTAAACCAGATAATATTGCGCTTACGGTTTTTTGGTAGAGGTTGAATGAGTTTCGGAATATAATTAAGTTTAAATTTGTAACCAGACTTTTTTAATGCATCCTGATACAAATGAGCAGAGCTTCGAAAGCTAGTGTCATTAGATGAATTAGCTGACAACCTTAATTCTATAGAACGAGGAAGTTGCTTTATTATGCTAGGAGGGTGATTGGAATCAACATGTATATAATTTAGTTCATTGATTGGTTTACAAAATGGTCTAAAAGATTGATCATTGAGATTAAGTGTTACATCAAGGAAGTTCACAACTTTCATGTTACATTGTATGGAGATAGAAAGATTGTTATTTTTAAAAATTTGAATAATATGTTTTTTTATCGTGTCCATAAGGTGGCCACTAGCATTAGAATAATGACAATATTAATAAAAACAAAATAACAATATGTTTTTTTATCGTGTCCATAAGGTGGCCACTAGCATAGATTTCGATACGGGTGATTAGACAGCCGTTTTTAGGTTTTTGTTTTTGTTTTGTTTTGACGACAGAGCACATTCCACTGTAACTTTATATTTTAACGGTTTTTTTTGTTTCTTGTTTTGTATTACATGGCTGATGATTGCCTTTAGGCATGAAACTATTAGTACCAAAAAAAAGTTGTTTTCTTTATTTTTATAAATTAATATAATGCTCTATTAAATAATATAAATAAATCCTATTTATTTATTATTGAGCACTCTTATACGTTCAAGAGTTTTTTGTATTTTATTGCAAATACAAAATATCATACAATATATATATATATATATATATATATATATATATATATATATATATATATATATATATATATATATATATATATATATATATATATATGTATATATATATATATATATATATATATATATATATATATTTATATCTATATATATATATATATATATATATATATATATATATATATATATATATATATATATATATATATATATATATATATATATATATATATATATATATATATATATAAAGAAATGATTACATATATAATTTATATATATATACATACAGTTAAACATACATATACCGTTTAGATCATAATTGAACGTATGGTTTTCATTAGAAAGAAGCAGGCTATTTGGGTCCTCCATGCGGGTTTACTTTTTTTTGCGTATCCTTTCACTGAATAATAAAAACAAAAAATTGAAAAAAATTATAATGTCTTGTTTTGGAAACTTATATTTAGTTTTAAATTTTGTTTAGTTACAAAATGTTATTAATCAAATATTTATTTGTGAATTGTTCAAAACCAAATTATCACTTTAAAAATTATATTTATGTATAAAACAATTATATAATTATGTATAAAATTGTGTATTAGTAACAACTATACTTAATAGAATATAGTTATATAAAATTATTTAAATATATAAGTAAACAGATCTTACCTGTTTGTTTTTTTAATTATTATTATAATGTCGAAAAATATTTGTATAAGAATATAAATATTAAAATTAAAAAGTCATGAAAATTGAAATTAAAATATCATGAAAACGAAGTAAGGGAAGGTTTTGTATGTTGAGCATGTAAACAATCTATTGTTTTTTTGCAGTATTATAATATATTTATATTTATTTTTGCAGATTGTCATAATTTATTCCTTCCTCTTAAAGAAGATAAATGAATAGTTCATTTTAAAAAAAATCTTTATACCAAAAATTGTATTATTTTTAACACAGCCAATCATCTCATCTTAGGAAACCAGTTTCCTAACATGAGCTTTTTGTAATGAAGCTCAAAAAAACCCAAAATAACAAAAAAATCACAATAAAAATTAAAATTATATATAAAATAAAAAATAAAATTGTATCTTCAAGGGAACATCTCAACCATAAAAAAAATAATCATAAATCTTTCCTATCTCTAAAAAAGTTTGCGAAACTATTTTTTGAAAAAACTTTCGCTCTTGAAATACCAAAATAAATCCCCGTGGAGAATAACTTTAAAAAAATACGCTTTTTTTTATAAAAAGCCGCATCTCATCTTTAGTGTCTAAAAACGTATCATCTTAAGCAACCTTACTAAGTACTATCATAATTTAAATAGCATGACAACTCATGGAATTACCAGTAGATAAGCATAAATTATTGAGGATGTAATAATTTTTGTATGATCTTGTTTCGTTCTGACGTAACTACAAAGTACTGAATAATAAAAAATAACAACGGGGATGGTAATTTTTTTCACAAATAAAACAATCAAAGAATATGAACTATACTACTACCAAGAAAATCAAATAGATAACACCGTCGAGCTTGAATAAATATTGTTAACCAAAAATGTTCTTGATAAAATCAATAGTCTACACGTAAAAGAGGTTATACCATTTTAAGAATCATTTGAAAACTATCTAATAATATATGCTATATCAAAGTTTTCAAAGCAGATAAAAAACTATATTTTTAACAAATGTATTATTCAATCAATTACTTTTGTTAGATCAAGTAAAACCTATTTTTGTTCGATGAATCATTTTTCTATTCGGAAATCGTTGATATTAAATTTGTAAACTTTTTAAAACTCTTTAATAGATAAACAAAAACTGAAAAAAATGTGTTACAAAATTATTATTTATAGTATATTATTTTTGCATTATTTTGATTAATGGTGTACGTTGAAAGAACAACCAATGCTTCATTAAAATGATTTACCAGAGCTTTATTATTTATATACGGTGATCCATCACTATGATCCACTTTGCTTGTATACGGTGACCGATCACCCCACTTACTCATAATCCAAAAAAACCATCTGTTTTTGTTTTAAAAAATATTATTGAAATGCTACTCACATTATATATATGATACTCACATTATATATTAAAAAACCCCCTTTGAAATGTATGTTATATACAAAATAAGTTTAATAATTATTAAAAACTGGTACTAGAATTTCATTTATTGACTCTGTGTAGTTAATAGCTAGTGTCTATTAACTACACAGAGTCAATAAATGAATTTCTAGTACCAGTTTTTAATAATTATTAAACTTATTTTTATAATCGGTATCGTAGAAGTTGATACCGAGAGAGAATGGTCTCGTATTGCGTGGTATCGCTTATATACTAATGTTGATACTATCAGTATCGGTTCGATACCACTCGATATTGAGTAGGATAGTCTCGTATCGTATGATACCGCTTTTGTACCAATGTTGATACTATCATTATCGCTTCGATACCAAACGATACCGATAATCAAAAGAATCTTATAGGTTCACATGGTCTCGAATTGAGACTCTCAGTAAAACGAAATTCAAATGTGACTTATTAAATTTTTTATTTACAAAATACAAATGCAATTGCTTTTTAGAGATATAGCTATTATTTTTTTAAAAAGTCTACAATACTTTCCCAGCTAGCACACATACGTTGATAAAACGTTAGAACAATGTTGTGCGTTTGCCCAACATCTCGGCATTGCCTAATGTTTTACGCTAATTCAACGTTGTATTTTACGTTGGCACAATGTTGTATTTTAAATTGAAAAAAGTATTGTATTTTAAGTTGACTCAACATTATATTTACATTTGCACAACTTTATGTTTACCTTTTATTGGAATTGAGTTAATTTGTTTTATGTTAAGCATATATAGATAAATATAAAATATTATAAACTTTTGCGATATATAACTGCATATATCTATGTATACATACATAATTCCGCCATTTTGATGATGAATTATGGTGTTGTGGTTTATCCTCCTTCGGCTAAAGACCATATAGAGGCCACATTACCAAGGCCCGCAAAGACAAGTTTTGCTCCCAAGGAGCATCATAACCCTCTCAACGGTTTAAGAGTAAGGTGAGTTTGGAAAGAACGATGGTTTGTTAGAGTGAAAGACAGAAATATTCGAGTTAGAAAGATAGCATAGAGAAAGCGGACAAAAATTGCACACGTTGTTAGAAGGTGCAAACGTAATAAGCATGAATTATCATTGACTATTACATATCCTTATACATTTATATTAAATCTGAATAATGAGACATTATTCATGTTTGTTTTGCTTTTAGCTTGATATTTCATAACATAAAAAAGAGAAAAATATATTAGCAAAATAAGATTCCATATTCAGCTGAAATAATTAAACGAAAAATAATTCTCAGATGTTATACAAATGTATTTTGTATATCTGCCTTTTCTTGATGCAAACTTAACGTTGAACCACTGTATAAAGTTGTTCCAATGTATGTACATGCATTAAATCAACGTTAAGTTTAGATCGTAAAAAAATTATACTTTTGCAATGTTTTTACATACATTGGATCAACGTTGATTTATATATATTGAATCAACGTTGGGTTATATACATTGGATCAAGGTTGGGCTTAGATCGTAAAAACAATCAATTTTTTCCGATGTTTTTACCCAGTAAGCACAAAGACGTTTAAAAGACGTTTTAAAGATGTCTTAAAGGAGATCTAAAAGGCGCACTTGTAGACGTTTAGATCATAAGGCTAAAAGACGTCTAAATGAAAAACGTCTTTATAAAAACGCGTTTTAGACGTATGTTAGACGTTTTTTTCAAGATAAATTTAAGTACATGACGTAACATTTTCGCGTAGTATGTGGTATATATTCATTGTATTTATAACATTGTTAATAATAATAATTTCGTATATACAAAATATACATAGGAACCAGCAATTAAAATAATATTGCTGTAATCACCACCAACGGTTGATGCATCAAAGATGAAAATAATAAATAACAATAACAAATATATATCAAAACAGTATTTAAAACATTTTTAACTTACCTTTAATTATTATAATAAATTTAACATACGTATTGCTAGCTAATTTTTGACCGCATACTTGACTTATTATATGGCTTGTGGGTGTATAAAAACTAAAAGTACTGATATTTAACTTTTATATTATTCTTGCCATTTTCACTTATTATCATGATCAGTCAACTATCTATTAAAAAAGCAAAATAATTATTAATAAAAAAAAGATATATTATTATTATAGCAATTATTTTAGTGATTCCTGTGACAACAATTTTAGCAATTGTGTAAAAAAGTAATTTAATTTAAAGTAATTTACACTTAAAACTTGAACAAATTATTGAAAATAATAAAAACTATGTTTTTACTTTGAATAGACATCTACTTAACGCGTAATGACAAAGCCGTCAAAAAGAAGTCATAATGACATATTTATAAACAGGTCTCAGAAAAGACGTCTTTTAGCTTTGATCTAGACGTCTTTTAATGCGTATTTTAGACTATTTATTACGCGTCTTTTAAACGTATTTTTAACGCTTAAATAGACGCCTTTTTAAACGTCATTTTAAAAACGCCTTTATAAAAGACGTCTAGAAGATGTCTTAAAAATTGACGTCTTCTAGACGTCTTTTTATCTTTTAAAAAGACGCCTTTTAAACGTCATTTTAAAAACGCGTCTTGTGCTTACTGGGTACATACATTAATTTAACGTTGGTTTATACACATTAAATCAATGTTGGTTTAATAACATTGGAACAACGTTGGGTCTACTTTGTAAAAACAATCAATTTTTGCGATGTTTTTAAATACGTTGGACCAATGTAAATATGCCAGCTGTTTTTAGTTCCGTTGGTATTTATTTCATTATTAAATAAATAAGATTGGATCAACGTTGGTTTTGCATTGGAAAAAACAGCCTACGTTTGCAATGGTTTTACATACGTTGGCAAAAAGTAAGTGTACTAGCTGGGTTGGCTATTGTTCATTTGTTGTTTTTTCCTTTGCTATATTTTCGCTGGTATTTTAGGATTTTCTTCTATTAATCTTTTAACAATTTTGGGGGATTTGCTGTAAATATTATATCTAAACAATGTCAAATGAGCTAAATAATTTTAAAAATATTATTACCAAAAAAAGACCTTTTGATAAGCGTGAATTTTTTTTTTTGTTGTTGTTTTTTTTTTACAATAAGTATTAGGTATCTTTATATAAAACAAAAAAAAAATTCAGAGTGGACAAACATACAAACTAGCGGTCAATTTTGCACACTGTGCTTTGAGCGTTCTCCCTAAAAATCTGTTGATGTATGAATTATTGCTCCACCAAATAAATTATAATAGTTAATAAATAATATAAGTTAAAACGTAAAAACGTAAAAAACTAACTGCATT